TATCGTCTAATAATGAATTTACAATACTCTTCTTTCCTTTTTCGGCAAATCCAGATGTTGTATCGCAACCAGAAAAAAAAATGCAGAAATGCAACGATATTTTTGAAGGATTCATATTTGAAACTATTAGACTTGAAAAATAGATCTTTTACATTTTTAGAACCTGGTTTGAGAAAATAAATGTCATGATTATTTGAAGTTAATTGATTCAAAAGGATAAATAGGCATCTATGCACAAAGAATATTCTACTACTTCTCAAAATATTGTAGATGTTGTAGTGTATTATTATTTAGGTTACTATAGTTTATCCGTTTATATTTTTGAGTGTACTTTATTATGTAATGTCATTCTGATTGTGTCATATTAAAAATATAATCCTACGAATCTAATATTATTTAGTTGGGTAAACATTACAATTTCTGGCGACGAGGATTGTGAAAGCGGACCGATTTTGATTCGGGAAGATGGCTAGCATTATAGGAATCCAACAGGAATTTAATCCGAACGTTAATGACTGGTCAGTACACTGGAAACGATTGTCTCAATTTTTTTTTGGCTAATAAGATTACAGAGAATGGTCAGAAACGAGCAATTTTGCTTAATAGTCTTCTTCAGGATGCATATAAACTTTTGGAAACTCTTTGTGTACCTGAAGAACCGGAAAAATATGAATTAGAAAATATTGTTAAAAAACTTGATGATTTTTTCATTAGGAAAAATGTAGTTTTTGTTGAGAGGTTTAATTTTTATGATGCAAATAAACGTATGTCTGAAAGTGCACAAGAATGGTTCGCACGTATTCAGAAATTGGCAATGTATTGTGAATTTGGTACTGGATTTGATACAAAATTGTGTAACAAATTTATCACTGGCTATAATCCATTAAAAGTTAGGAATAAACTGTTTGGTGAAAAAAGTTCCGTAAGTTTCAAAGAGGCTTTAAATATAGCTTTAACTGAAGAAGCAGCCCAGGCGGGTATTTTGGAGTGTGGTAATGCGTTGAAAGAAGAAATGAAAGCTGAAGTGGATATAAATCGAATTTAAAAAGGTACCAGAAGTTCCCTAGAAAATCAAGGTACGTCATCGGGTTGGGTACCGCAGACGAGTTCTAGGAGAGGAGACAATTCTTATTCAAGTGGTAAAGTAAGGTGTTTTCGTTGTGGTAATCAACATTATGCAAATAAATGTCCATTTCGCGATTATGTTTGTAATAGATACTCTGTTAAAGGTCATCTGGCTTCGGTCTGTAATAAACAAGATAAAAAAATGCATTATTTGAATGAAACTTTATCAGAATCTAATAAGATAGATAACACAAATGCAAAAGAAGAAGATTCTCCGGTTCTCTGTTTATTCCAGAAGTCAGATAAGCCTATAGTTTTAAATGTTGAATTAAATAGTTTTTCGTTAAAAATGGAGTTAGATTCTGGGGCTGCTATGTCCATATTGCCACTTTCTAATTATAAAAGTTTTTTTTTCTAAAGTTCCCTTATTAGACACCAACATTACGTTAATCGATTTTTCGGGAGATAAAATTTATCCAAAGGGTGTCGTCAAATTGGATGTTAAGTACATGGGCAAAAATAATATTTTAGAATTTTGTGTTGTTGACACACAATGCCCACCATTGCTAGGAAGAAATTTTATAAGAGCATTTCAGTTAACTCTTCAAGAAATCAATTACATAGATAAAGGTACTTCGGTTGCTGAGTATTTTGAAAGTAATTTTAAATCGGTGTTTTCTGATAGTCCAGGTCATTTTAATAAATTTGAGTTAAAACTACATACTTATCCAAATAGTATTCCGAAATTTTTCAAACATCGTCCACTGCCTTTTGCTTTAAAGGAAAAAGTCGAACATGAAATTAATAGATTATTAAAGGAAAACATTATTTCTCCCGTTGAGTATAGTCCGTGGGCAACACCGGTGGCCCCGATTTTAAAAAAGGATAACTCTGTAAGATTATGTGGAGATTATAAGGTTACAGTAAATCCAAATTTAGTTATTGATAAATATCCTTTCCCTCTGAATTAACAGGTAAACGTGAGAGAAAATCCGCTATGTTTTCTGAAGTTTTAACATATTTTATGCTGAAATTAAAACCGCTAAGGAAATATGCATACCTTTGTAGACGATTAGCTGCCATGATAGGAATGCCCCTTTTTGGTCCAAAAATACTGACCAGAGGTTGATTATCCGAAAGTAGCGTAAAAGATCTGCCATACAAATATTGATAAAAACGCTTTACACCGAAAACAATGGCTAAAGCTTCTTTATCTAGTTGTGAATACCTTTTTTCACTCTCTGACAACGTTCGTGATGTAAAACATACTGGTCTTTCAACTCCATTCTTCCCCTTTTGCGAAAGCACTGCTCCTAAACCATAATCACTACTATCTACCGCTAAAATCGTGTCTAACTCAGAATCAAAATACAATAAAAAAGAATCCGACATCAGAACGTTTTTAATTTGATCAAAAGCCTTTTGACACTCATGACTCCAATTCCAAATTATTTCCTTTTTTAAAAATTGATATAATGGAGCTACAATGTTCGGCATATTAGGTATGAATCTATTATAATATGAAATCATACCTATAAAAGATTTTAACTGTTTCACATTGCTTGGAACAGGAATCTTTCTAATAGCTTCCAACTTATCCGGACATTTATGTATACCATTTTTATCTAAAATAAATCCTAAATAAGAAATACTATTGGAAAAGAATTTACACTTCTCTTTTTTAATTGTCAACCCACAATCTTGCAATATTTCAAACACTTTTTTCAAATTTTCAATATGTTTTTGTCTATTTTTCCCAGTGATTATAATATCATCCAAGAAACAAGCTACTCCCTGCAGCTTCGTAAATAACTGATCCATAATTCGCTGGAACTGAGATGGAGCACTTGCGAGACCAAAAGGCAAACGGTTATACCTAAACAACCCCTTATGAGTAGATATCGTTGTCAAGTCACGCGAATCTACATGCAAAGGAATTTGTTGATAAGCATGTGCTAAGTCAATTTTTGAAAATTGCTCTCCTAATTTTCTTTGGAAAAGGCATTCGATATTGTGATGACAATGATTTTGAACTTGACAAAAGATATTTCTCCAATGAAAGAGATTGTCAACCTTATCTAGCAGCTAGCTCTGTACTAACACAATCTGACATAATAAAGGGTCACGATACTAATCCTACTACTTGCGTTAGACCTCAAAGAATTAGAAAACCACCTGAACGATGGGGGTATTGATACTCTTCTAGGGGAGAAGTGTGTAGTGTATTAATATTTAGGTTACTATAGTTTTTCCGTTTATATTTTTGAGTGTACTTTATTATGTAATGTCATTCTGATTGTGTCATATTAAAAATATAATCCTACGAATCTAATATTATTTAGTTGGGTAAACATTACAGATGTCTTATTATATATTAACTTATTTGGTTGTTAATTATAGTAGTATATTTCGATTTGTATTTTTTTGTTTATCAATGTAACATAGAATCTTACGTTTTTCAAGTAATTAAAGTGTAAATTTTACTAAATGGCTCAAAATTGTACATAGTGATTAAAAAAAAAAAATTTGGATTCGAGTTTTTTTCTTTTCTTTGCTTTTTCTGAAAACATTTACCATAGTAATGTATATATTTTTTTACATTATCAGAAAGAAGAGATTTTAACGAACAAAAAACTCCCCGACTTTTTTAAAAAGCTGATATTTTGACGTAAGAATTTTCGATTGAAAATTAGGGTGTTTTTTCGATATTAAGTCAAAATAAGGTGAAAAAATAAATATTTCAAATCAAAAAAATTACAGTGTCTTAAGGACATAGAAAGGTAAGTTTTCATCAAATTTCGTGAAAAAAATTTTTTTTGCATAAGATAAAAATAAAAAACGAAAAACTTGATTATTTGAATTTTTTACATAAATTTTGAGGTTATATGAAAAAGTGTAATCACAAAAGTTGTAGGTCTCTTTATTAACTACAACTTTGTCATTTATTTTTTTCCATAGAACTTGTAGTTTTGCCGGAAATCGAGAAAAAATTGATTCTTTATTGTACTAGTGCAATAAAAATTTTATTGCACCCATCTTTCATTTTACTACAGCGTTTTATAATCATGACAAACATAAACATTTAAATCGACGCCAAATATTTAGTTCATTTTCATTTTCTGTGAGATTTTATTACGTTTTAAAAAAAAATTGCATATTTTATATTATTTTTAATCATTTAATAAATAAATTAATAAAAAATGTATTTTCTTAACATAGTTATAGTACTTTTTCAATGTTAATCGATATTAGTTATTAAATATTTTGCTATTATATTACGCTTTTTATTCTTCTGCACTTAGTGTCGCCTAAATAAAACATTATTTGGTTTTTGCATTAACGTAGAAAAAATATTGTACGCAATTCGTGCAAAAAGTGTTTATTGCACTCGACGTGTTGTCCAACTCGGCCTAACTGTCTCGTTTGACAATTTTACGTAACGTGCAATAAACACTTTTAATTTTTGCACTTGTTGCATAAATAACTATTATAACCTGCAAATAAATAATGAAAAAATAAAAACAGTTAAAATGTATCAAATATTGTTAAAAGTATGGTTAAAATTAATTGTCAGTGAAACCCAAAATTACATTACACTTTTATGGCGTATTGTTGCTTATTAAGTTTATTGACAACAATGTTCTGTCACTTCCACAAAGAAGAGCTTCTATTTTTGAAGTAAAGTTGTGCAAATAGAGAATTCCGAATTTATAGGCCTTCGACAAGTTTTCTACCAATTTGGTGCGTCTTCGGAAATTTAAAACATATTTAAACCAGTCCAGTTACAAAAATTTTTCTATAGAAAAGTAACTTATTTTTATTGAATATAGGGTTCACAGTAATTTTCCCACAAAGTGTTTTTCCTATTTTTACTCAAAAAACTTTGTCGTCCTATCACTCAATTTTAAGAATGTTAACAATAGGTAGATACTTACTCTTCAAAAATTTTAATCGACGTACTAAAATGTATCCCATTACTTTCCTTATTAAAGATTCTTAAGTTTGTGTCACAATTTTTTCCATGCTTGTCCTTTTGAAGTAAAAGAGAATTGCAATTATCCTCTTCAAAACTATCCACATGTTGATGTTGTATTGGATGTACAGTATTTTCTGGAAACATTTATACATTATATAGATCATAATATTTGCACGGATCTCTAATATTTTCATATTAGTTATCATTCCAAATTTAGTTTTACTGCAAATTTTAATCAACATTCACTTGTACGAAACTCCGTAACTTTATGACAGTAATAAAAACATTTATTAATATTATTAATTTTGCTTACCTGAATACATTTTTAACGGGATATTTTTATCCTCTGAAGCAAAGCAGATCAAACATTTATAGAAAATAAACAACACTATTAAAATGAACAATTTCATTGTTGTATTTTATGTGAAAATAAAAAATAGCTTTATTCGTGATGTATACAACGTTAATACTAAAAGGAAGTGGAGTAATATTGGATAAATTTGCTGTAGAACTTCTACGGCTTTAATTAGCTTGTTGATTTTCAAATCCTATATAAATATTAACCTCGTTTTCAATTCCTTATAGGTTTAGAGTCGGTAGGTTGCCGGTTTATGATCGTAAAAGTCAGTAGTTATTGGATAGGTAACACTTTGATGGGAATTTAAGAACTTACACTTCTATTTTACGTGGTGCTTAATTTAAAAGAACGCCCCAACGCCCCAAGAGTTAATTTTAGTAAAATACAAATCGCCTTGTAATGGAAGCAATTCTAAAAGAACGTTTAAAATGTTTATAGTCTATTCCCTAGAAATACAAACTTCGACGAAAAATTAACGGTATTTAAACAATAGAAATTCAGTTTAAACGAAGTATAGGAAGTAATTATTATTAATGTCAGTGAGATATCATTTTATTTAAATGAAAAATACGATTAAGAAACCTTATTGAGATGGAAAACTGGACCAACTGTCGGAAAACTATTTGTATCTGACAAACCAATGAACGGATTTGGTGACATATTATTTTAGTGTCACAAAATTACAGATTTGACATATCGTCGGCCTAATGTGAAAATTGCATAAGTCCATTTTTTCACAAAATTGGTTTTTAGCTCCATCTGATAGAAAAGCAGGGTATCTATACAACAAAATAAAAAACTATGCAAAAAGTATTAAGATGGCGCTAGAAACAACAGTATGAAATGCGTGTAAGTCCAACTCGTTCTACATCAGTAAGAAAGTTGCATAAGCCCTAGCAAGTGTACGTTGGTGTTCTGTCTATGTTTGGTCAGGGACGACTAGAGGGGGGTAGCCGGGACTAATTCCCGGGGCCCGGGCTGAAATGGGGGCCTGGCGGCGCTATAAGGGGGGCCCGACAACAGGCTTTTGTTTTTTAGCATGAGAAATTCGACACAAGAAGAGAAAGGGGAGGTGAAGCTAGAGGAAAAGTTTTAACGTAGAGAATATTTTTTTTCGGCTGAAGAGAAGTAATTGAAGTAAGGAGAAATTTTTTTTGGGGGTTAAGGTTTTTTTTTTCTTTATAAGAAGAAGTAATTGAAGCAGGGAGATGAGAACCTTTTTTTTGAGGACGAAATAATTAAAGTAAGGAGAAAAGAGAAACTTTTTTTTAGAAGACGAAATAATTGAAGTAGGGAGAAAAGTTTTTTGAGGTAAGGGCCTTTTTTTTTTGAAAAAGTGTTTTTTTTAATAGAACAGAAAAAGTTTTGGTTACATTTTTTTGTCACAGGGCCCGATCTGAAGAATTGTCCTGGGGCCCGGCCTGGCTCTCGGCGGCCCTGTGTTTGGTGTAAATTAAGGCTTTTTAAATGTGTTATCATACATTAGACTGGATTATTGCCATTTTTGTAAACTTAAGGAATTATTCATTTTTCACACTGTTGATATATTTAGAACTCACGGAAGGTATGCACGTTTCAAAGCATTTTGAATACCAATTACTGCAAAGAATGATGAGAAATTCACATTTTTTGCCTTACTACAAGTTTTGAACAGTTCGCGTAGATGGAAATTCTTGTCAAGTCTTGAGGTATTAGCAAACACTCCTTTTGGTATAAATAAGAAAAAAATTTGGTACCAGGTAAAAAAGCCGCTGTTAAAAACGTTCCAGTGAAAAAGCCCCCGTTAAAAGCCCCTAGTGAAAAAATTCATTCCAAAAAAAGCCCCCTGATAATAATCAAAACATATTTTTTTGTAAGTCAAACATCCGAACAGTACCGGGGTCGTTTTTACCGGAGGATTTATACTTTGTGGCTAAAAATAGTAATAAACAAGTATTTTGTTTCAGCTATGGATCGTAGAAGTAGGGTTTTCAATTTGTTGAATTTAACAAAACATCCTGTCAATACTTTGAAGGACATAACTAACAATAGCTCTGGAATATTAACTAGTGATTCTGTAGGATTAAACAAGACAATAAAACTGTTCAAAGAAAAAGATCAAGACAATCATACTGATACAAAGAGCGCGGAAAATGAAAAGTGTTTTGCAGAAGAAAACGAGGAACTGCAGTCAGCTCTAACAGAATTACAGAAAGAAATTCATATGACACAAAACATTTTAGACACAGGGGAAAACAATGATTTATCATCCAGCTTTCTCAACAATGCAATAATATCCGGCATAGAGCAAACGGATATTATTACAAACTATGATAGTTTTATTTTTTTCGATGAGATTGAGATGCTCAATGCCAATACAATAATTGATATTGCCACGCAAACAGAAACTCCTTTGGATTTCAATAAAAACTAACGACAAGAAAACATTAGAAATGAAGTTAATGATGAAGATGCAACAAATCGTCCAGAAGAAGTAGATAATGAAAACAATGTCCCTACATATCAAATCGACGATGATGGGGAACATTCTGATGAAGAAAATAATGATTCCAGTGAAGAAGTTACACAAAAAAGGAAAAAGAAAATATTTTCTAAATCTGCAGAATGAAAATATAATACTAATAAAATAAACATAGAGAAAGGGGTTGAGTATATGGGTAGAAAAAATAACAAATTCGGCAGAAAGAAATCTAAGAGAGTAATGAAAACGAGATGCCTGTGTTCAAATAAACCATTGAAAACCGGTAAAGAAATAGCAATTCAGTGTTACAAGTTGACGGATGAAGAGCGAAAGTTCATTTTCGCGAAGTTTCGGTCCCTGTCATGGCCTAAAAAGAAGATCTACATTTCTGCAAAAGTCTTGAAGAATAAAACGGAAAGGTCAAGGCATAGAAAGGATCCAGAAGTTAGCCAAATGACAACTTTTTATAAGTATTTTCTTAAAAAGAAAAGCGAAGAAATTAGGCTTGTAAGCTGATGTTTTGCAATACGTTAGGAATTTTTATGAGGATCATATCAGCGTGGATAAAATATGAAATGTCTAGCCCAGCCAAAAGTGAAGAACAGAATAGTGACAAAATATTAAACAAAAAAACTTTGTTTTGATGAAGAAAGGATAAATTTGAAAAAATTCTTTAAAGAACTCCCTCAACTTCAATCACATTGTTGTCGCAAATCGTCAACAAAATTATATGTAGAGCCAACGTTCAAAACCAAATCGGAGCTTTATTTACTTTATAAAGATAATTAGTGTGTAGAACATAATGTAGCTTCCTTATCCATTGCCACATTCTCATACATGTTTCAAAATCTGAATCTTGCATTGTTTTTGCCAAAGAAAGACGAATGCGATGTCTGCGTAGGCTACAAGACCAAAAACGTAGAGGAATCTGTCTACAGGGAACACATTAATAAGAAAGAAGAAGCACGGGAAGCAAAAGCAGAAGACAAAATTTCCAAAAATAGGGTATTTACGATGGACCTCCAGTCAGTACTGATACTGCTCGAAATCGAACGTATCATCTCTGTACTATCGCACGAAGCTTATTGTACACAATTTTACAGTCTTTGATTTGCATTCTAAAGATGGCTATTGTTTTCTCGGGGAGCTCAGTGCAAACTGTTTTTCATCAATAATGTGTAACTTCTTGATTAATAATGTAATTTCCCAGCTTGAGCCAATGCAACAAATAATATTATATAGTGACGGTTGTAGCGCTCAAAATCGTAATTGCACTTTTAGCAACGCCTTGTTGAATCTTCCTCTCGAAAAACATGTTTGTATCATCAAGAAATATTTAGAAAAGGGTCACACCCAAATGGAGTGTGACTCGATGCATTCTACCATAGAGAGGCAATTAAAAGGTAGAACCATTAATTTGCCAGCTGATTATGTCTACATATGTAAAGTGGCTCGAAAAAATCCTAGACCGTATGAGGTGAGCTATTTGGATTATACTTTTTTGAAAGACTTTAGTAAACTTAATTTAATAAAATTTAAAGTTGGTGATCCAACTGTTAACCATCTTAGAGCTCTGAAGCCCAATCCAGATGGTAAAATCGAGTTTAAGATTAAACATTCCGAGGAGTTTCAAGATATGCCTATGAGATTAAAACCAAATTTAAATTATATATCAATGCGCTAGTTCAGTGATGATGTGATTATGGTTCCACTGACAATTAAAGTGACAGTAGATTTTTTGAGTATATTTTGTTCGTTTTGTTTACCTAAATTATATCGTTTTTTCACTTTTATAGATATATTCCCAAAGTAAGTAGATAACATGCATCAAATATACAATCGTTTAGTTACCAATTACATACCTTTCAACTATTTTTTATGACCTGTAAACAATATTTAGAAATAAACTTAAAACAGTAAAAACGTATATGTCAAATTTATTGATGTTTTTGTTAAAAGTTTGGTTAGAATTAAATGTCAGTGGAATCAAAATGACATCACACTGAACTAGCGCATTGACTATCTTCCCTTATTGTACAAAGAACAATTGAAAATTAAAAAAGAAAAGTTTGAACATCTTACGTTTTTGAAAAAATCTCTTGCCAAAAATTATCATGATTTTTATGACAATCTAAGACATGAATAACTTATTAACCATAAGACTTAACCATTTGATTATTTTTTAATATTATAAGTTATGTACTATTATCTTCCATGTTGTTTTATTAGTAGTTATTTTCGATTTGATAAAAATAATGCCTTAGGTAGGTAAATACTAGCGTTGTTTTATTATGTGAAATTTGCATAAGTCCATCTTTGTACTGGACATAAGAATGAATTTTGCATAACTCCTTTATTTTTCAACAGGTAACTATTATAAAAAAATCAATACTTGATAGCAGTTCCCTAATGTTTTTTTAATCCAAATTCCACTTTCACCCAAATTACATTATTTTTAAAGAAATAAAATAGTTTTTTTGCTCTCTTTTAAAATTTAGGTTTTGGGACTTGTGCAATTTTCACATTAGGCCGACGATATGTTTTAAATAAAACTACAGACAGATACTTTTTGATTTTTGGAAAAAATTGCA